ACAGACCAAGAGATCAACGCGAAGAGAGAACCTGAAAGAACCGGACGCCGCTATACTGCTCGACTCCTGTAGCCTCTGAGCCAAACAAACCCTAATGAAGATGCACGAACTGAATCAAAGGCCCTAATCAAAGCTCTTATACCATGTCAATTAGCTAAAGAGAAACGTAAACACAGAGCTTTTTTAACGTGGTATCGTCGTTAGACACTATTCCACGGAGAGGATCTCCCTCTCAGGTTTTTGATTCTTATTATTCGACTTAACATCTCTGGTACAGGTACAACGGTTTATATAGGTTTGCTCACACCAAACCCTACAACTTAACCTATTACGAAGGTTAATTACATTATGGTCCTCATACATTTAACAGTACCGCCCTCTAGTGACTCTCTCCTGAATCGCATGAATCCCGAGATAGTGTCCTAGGTGTGCTTTCAAAGGAATACTAGCACCCTGAATCAAGCGCTCTGCTCTCTGCCGATTAATGTTGGGAGACACATAGATGATGGACTTGTTGTAGTTCAGTCGCTGTCCTAAGCTAAAGCAGAAGTCTTCCGGACATTGTTTGATCACCCAAATCTGCTTCGTCTCCGCCTCATCAAAAAGGAGGAGATCATCTGCAAAAAACAAGTGAGTAAGAGATGGTCCATTCATAGTAAGCTTTAGGGGCTTCCACAGGCCATCATCAACTGCCTCATCAATCTTATGAGAAAGCCTTTCCATATAGAGAACGAAAAGGTAAGGGGGAAGAGGGTCTCCCTGACGGACTCCTCGCGAAGGAGTTAGGGGCGGAGATAGCTCGCCATTCCAGAGAATCCTCATTCTGTTTTGCTCGACGCAATACATGATGCTGTTAATCCAGCTACTGGGTAGCCCGATCTCCTTTAGAGTATCTCTCAGGAAATCCCACCTCAGCATGTCATAAGCCTTCTCCAGATCTATTTTAAGAATCATTCCCCCTCTTCTCCCCTTCTTCCTCCCAAGAGAGTGCATAATCTCCTGAACCACAATGATATTACCTGTCGTTTGCCTGCCAGGAATAAAGCTGCTCTAACGAGGAGAGATCAGCTTCCTCATAAGAGGTTTGAGCCTTCTTGTTAGGGCCTTGGTGATTGCATTGAGACTAACATTATTGAGAGAAATAGGCCGCAACGGGTTCACCCTATCAGGACTGTCGACCTTGGGAATAAGGACTAGGGTGGACTCAATCACTGCTTCGGGCAGAACTCCTGTTGAGAAAAACTTGACTGCCATCCCAGTCAGAGCTTTCCCCACCACCTGCCAAATCTGCTGATAGAACAATGCCTGATACCCGTCCGGTCCAGGAGCTTGGTAGGGCTTCATATTGAAAATCGCCTTATGGATATCCGTAATGTTGAACGGGCGAAGAAGGAGGAGGAGCTCAAGTGCTCAACCTGGCTAATCCAAGGGAAACAGTTCTTCGGGAGCTTATCCTCATAGATCGATCTGTCCTGCAAGTACAGATTAGTATAGAAATCAAACACAAGGCAAGCAAGAGAGAGGGGGTCAGTCACCCAGTTGCCGCTTGAGTCCTGCAGAGCCTCGATCTTATTCCTTCTTCTTCTAATGTTCGCTTGCTGATGGAAATAGGCTGTGTTCTTTTCTCCATATTTCACCCAATTTTCCCGAGCTCTTTGGAACCAAAGGATCTCCTCTTATTCTAGAACTTTATCAAGCTCTCCCCTCGAGTTTGGAATGTAACTTGGCCAGACCAGGACTAAAAATCCATCCGCCAATATCGCTTCCACCCCTTTGAGTCGAGCTAAGAGTCTTTTCTTCTTCTGATGGATATTCCCAAAAACATGGAGATTCCATTCTTGAAGCTTCCCTGCCAGATGCCGAAGAGCTTCGTGAAGAGGGGCTTGGGCGTCCCAGATCTCCGTCACATACTCCTACATATTAGAATGAGAGAACCAGGCGGCTTCAAACTTGAAAGCTCGGGCAGGAGGAGGGAGAGTTCTTGGGTAGGTCACCGTCATCATGATCGGATTATGATCTGATTGAAGTCTCGACAGGTGGAGAACCGACGTGTTAGGAAAAGCTATGTTTCACAGAGTGTTACAGAAGCTCCTATCCAGCGGGCTCGCCTTATAGGTCTGAGACTGCTCACCTCTACTCCATGTGAATTTCGCGCCTGAAAACTCCAAATCCACTAACTCCGCTTTATTAATCCTTTCGTTGAAGATGCAGCACCTCCAGACAGTGTTGCTTGTAGGAGGGCCGTACTTCTCCTCAAGATTGCGGATAGCGTTGAAATCTCTGGTTAGGATCCCCGAAATGTCATTCCGATGGCTTTGATTGATGATGTTATCCCAGAGAATGCGATGGCGGTGATGACGAGGCGAAGCGTAGACCCCTGTTAAGATCCAAGGAGTCGTAGTGCCTTCATAAATTCGAAGGGAAAGATGCCGAGAGCAAGCTGAGGTGAGCTGGGTTGTGAAGCGACGACCATCCCAGAACACCCAAATCCCCCCTTGACGCCCTTCCGCCTCCACCCTCAGGGAGTTAGGAAATCCCAACCTGTCACATACTGCATTGGCCGAATCCCCACTGATTTGGGGCTCTAAGAGAATCACAAAATCAGGGCGGTTCTGCTGAATAGCTAGCTTCAGAGCTCGAGTAAAAGCTCTACTGCCCGCGTCACCTATATTCCAAGAGAAGATTTTAATACTAGAGTTGATTGACATAAAGATAAAAGGAAAAGCGAGCTAGGGAGGGAAAATGAGAAGAGAGTTTCGATGGATATCAGGTTGGACTGATTCCGTCGCCCGTCGAAGGGATTGCCGCTTCCTGTCCAGCAACGGCCGATGTTCGATCCTAGTCGCAAGGCGGAATCGAGGTGCCCTTCCTGTTACCGCTTGTCCACTCACTGATCTCCTGAAGCGTAAGCGAGGCGAGGCGAGCTTTGGGTTTCGCCTTCCTCTCCTTCATAGGTGACCAGTGTTGGACCATCTTAATCGGAGTCATCTTTGTCGGCGACCCCTTTCGGCTGCGATCTTTAGTTTTCTTGTTCTTCTTTACTCTGGCGGCCGCCGAAGTGGCTCCCGGTCCAGCCTCCTTATCCACTACTCCTTCTGCCAGTTGGAATTCCACGACTTGCATTACAGTACCATTAGGCCCAGTCGTGGAGTGGATCGCAAGCGGTGAAGCTTGGGGCCAGGGGGAACAAATCTGGGCCGGGGAGCCCATCGGTTGACTTGAAAACGGTGTGCTTTGATTCATATGCTCGACGGTGGTATTTTGCTATCTCGACGATGAGGCTTTATCAATCTCATTCTTACTCTTTGGCCCATTCGACAATGCTTGTTGGTGGCCCGGCCCAGGTCCCATAACCCCCTTACTTCCAACGTTATCTATTCCGACCTTTTCCTTTCCCTTTCTTGATTCTTCATTTCCTTTCCTTCCATTATTCCCTTTCCTTTCTTGCGCGGCTGCCCGTTGTGAGGGATTAACAGAGAGCTTCGCCATTTGGGGTATCACATCCTCCCTTTCCATATTAGCCGCACTCCCCTTCCCATTCTTTGTTGAGTTTCCATGATTAGATTGAGCCCTTTCGAGGTCTGAGTTTCCTCTTTTTTGCGCATCCCTTGATATCTGCCTTGATTTCCGGCTGACCAACATCCATGGACCGAAACCAGGATTCGTCTCCGGCAGGTCTACCGGCGAGGCTTCGCTTGTGTTCCCGCAGGCGCTAGGTTCGGTCCCTGGAAGAGACGGCGACCGAAGTTGGGGGCAAGCATCCGAATCTTGCCCAATTTTCCCACAATGAAAACATACCAGGGGGAGATTTTCATACTCCATTTTCTACCAAGCACCATCTAGCCAGATTCGGGGCACGAGATGTTTTGAAAGATCAACTTCCACCGCAATCTGGGCAAACTTAGCTCGTTGTTGAGTGAGCGTGTGATAATCTAGCTTAATAGTTCTTCCGATCAGATTCCCCAAAGTTGTCAGCACCTCCTTGTGCTAGAAATGAATCTTTAGGGCTGGCAGCTGTACCCATACTATCATCATTTTAGGGAGCGGATCGGAGACCTTGAAGCTAGGTGTCCATTGCTGCACCACCAAGTAGTGGTCGGAAATCACCCATGGCCCTTTCGTCAGTGCCCGAAAGTAGTCCTGTTCATTATCTAACTTGACCAAGAAGCAGTCGAAATCCAGATCTCTAATCTCCAGCGTTCCTATGGGCTTCCATGTCGTGCGAAGTCTAGAGCAAAGCGTAGAGAAACCAATTTTTGTGTCGAGCAGGCGCACTACAAGAGTGCGTTGCCACGAGGCACAGATCCTGTTCTTAAACTCTGAGGAAATATTCAGAGCTGGCTCCCCATCTTTCTTCCCCGGTATCAGATCATGCTCGCCCACAGGTGTCCAAGTCGAGGCACGATTCGGAATCGGCCGTACACTATCCAGTCCCGTGACCGCCTTGGCGTAGGTGAACGGTTGTTGGGTCTTCTCTGCGTTACCAACTGTTATGATTTGATTATTCACCTCCAGTTGGGGCGAGGAGTTGACGATCATATCCGACGCCGGGGGAGCGGCCGCAGGCTGGGATGTATCCGGCGGCCTGTCGGACGAGAAGAGAGCCGACAACGGTGAAAGATTTTCACTCAGCGAATTCGAGAGCATTTTTCCTATCAGCTAATTTGATAGACCAATTAAGTCTGTTAATGTGAATGCTCTTAATCATCATTTCCATCACATAGGCTTCCCGAAATTAATAGGATGGTTATCTCATAAAAATTAATGATTAATTGAATGTGTGACCGTTATCAATTTAGATAAATAAAAATCATAATAATAAATAAAGAGCTGGATATAAACAAAAAGGAAGCCACCAGCGTCAAAGTGCCAGCTCATTCCCCCCTGACGAATCACTTCCCACCTCGCTGGCGCTTTCATTAAATCAACACGGCCCCACTCCCTCCTAATCTTCACCGGAATATCCTATTTCATTTTCATTTATTTCTTCCCTCATCCCTTTCATTTTCTTCTTTCTTCTTCTCACACTGTCCCCGAAACCTCTCCAATTCTCCCCCAAATCCTCCTCGGAAACCGAGACCGATCCCTCTTTTCCCCACCCAACAATGTCCAAGCAGACCTACAGAGTCTGCTTCTGCTTCCGCCGCCGGTTCAGACTCGCCGTCGCCGAGGCCCCGGACGAGATTCGGGGCTTCTTCAACCGCTACTCCGAGAATGGGCTCATGTCGGCCGATCACCTCCGCCGCTTCCTGGTCGAGGTCCAGAAGCAGGAGAATGCCACCCTCGAGGACGCCCAAGCTGCTATCAACAGTCTCCAGGAGCTCAAGCATTTGAACATCTTGCATCACCACAGGGGTCAGAGTCTCAACCTCGAGACCTTCTTCAAGTACCTCTTCGGCGACATTAACCCCCCAATCGACCTCAAACGCGGGGTCAGGATTTAGATGATTTTGAACTTTTTGCCCCTTCCTTTGAACTCACTGTTACTTACTTCACTTGCTGTGCTTTCCAATTTTGTTCTTTGTTTCTCTGTGAGGGTTTCTGTCGGTTGAGATTTGATGCAATTATAGAATTGAATTTTTCTCGTTCTGAGTAGTTGCTAGCACACTACCTAGCAAGCATTCCCTTGCCTGAGTTTCCTTTTTGGTTTAGTAGGTTTTGATTGGTTTTCTGTTTTAAGATAAGATACATTTTCTGTGACTAGTCCAATCCAATTGTCAGGCAGTTCTTTATTCCCCTGTGAGGTTGCTAACGGATTCTTGATTTCGAAAATTTGGTCGATTGAAGTTGCCTCTTTTGGCTGAATCCTGGGTGTGGCTTGGTTTACATAGCTTTGCTTGTGTTAACTGTACTGAAATTCTTCTATAAAAATTGCCCATTCTCTGTTCTGCAGGTGCAGCAGGATATGACTGCTCCTCTTTCGCATTATTTCATTTACACGGGGCACAACTCGTATCTTACTGGGAACCAACTTAGTAGTGACTGTAGCGACATTCCCATCATACAGGCGCTGCAGAGAGGCGTGAGGGTGATTGAACTGGATATATGGCCCAATTCCAACAAGGATGGCATTGAAGTTCTCCATGGAAGGTACTCTAGTAGTTCTGTGCTCTACCTCCTGAGATGGATGGCAAGATATACATGACTACTCTCTGAAATAGGGAAGTAATGAAAAGATGCATGAGTCTTTTGAACCAACTTCTAGAATTTTTATTGTTCTTTATCTTGTTGATGGCTCTCTAGACTTCAGTCGTCTACTTTAAACCAGGAAAGCGATTATTTGTTGTTGTTATGTAAGACGAATTTTTCTCTGAAGAGATTATTTCTTAATAGCATCAATAATCTTTTCCTGTTAGGTTGTCTTGAACTTGCTTGTAGTCACTGTAATTCTTTCTTTCGTTCGGCTTAGGACACTGACAACCCCTGTGGAACTTATCAAATGTTTGCGGTCTATCAAAGAGCATGCCTTCACTGCATCTGACTATCCTGTAGTCATAACTCTGGAAGACCACCTCACTCCAGATCTGCAGGCTAAAGTAGCTGAGGTAAGAGTTTGTTAATTGAACGGGTTTTAATCTCTTGGGAATTATCATTGTAATGTTTCCTTTGTTTTTCTTGTAGATGGTCACACAAACGTTTGGAGACATTCTGTTTTGTCCTGATTCGGATTGCTTAAAAGAATTCCCCTCCCCTGAATCATTGAAGAAACGGATTATCATATCAACCAAACCACCAAAAGAGTATATGTCAGCTGCAGTTCCCAAAGACACCCAGGAAGGTGATTCACAAAACGGGAAAACTGCAAGTGATGAGGAAGCATGGGGGAAAGAAGTGCCGCATCTTAAAGGCCCTGCTTCAGGCAATGACAAGGTAAGTGTGAACCTTACCTAAATGTGATTTTAGAGTCACCTGGCGGTGGGTGTTTTATCCCTGCAATTTGACTTTCTTCTTGCAGGAAGAAACTGAGGAAGATGAGGATGATGACGAGGAAGATCCTGACGAAGGAGTGAACAGGTTCCAGAAGTCTCTTGCACCAGAATATAGACGTTTAATTGCTATTCATGCTGGTAAGCCTAAAGGAGGAATGGATGAGTGTCTCAAAGTCGATCCTGAAAAAGTGAGGCGTCTTAGCTTAAGTGAGCAGCAGCTAGAAAAAGTTGCAGAGGATCGGGGTACAGATATTGTCAGGTGTGCAAAATTTCAAAATCCTTTATTCTTTTCCTGAAGTCCATCTTGCAATTTGTTGCTTTATTCTTTCAAGTTTCTGTAATACATTAGTGCGGTCAGGTTGAGTATTGAACAACTATTTTTCATCAAATTCTAATTGTTAAAGATGACAGATTTACCCAGAGAAACATTTTGAGGGTGTACCCAAAGGGCACTCGTATTACTTCATCCAACTACAACCCACTAATCGGTTGGATGCATGGAGCTCAAATGGTTGCTTTTAACATGCAGGTATTATCTTTTAAACGCTTATCCTGTTTCCGAGTTTCTTTCTTTGCTTCTTTATCAACTACCTTTCACCAGTTTTTTCTTTCATTTTGTCTTTGCTTTTACTACCAAATCCTTTCAACTAACTAGGCTTAATTTCTTGATTACAGGGATTTGGAAGATCTCTTTGGTTGATGCATGGGATGTTCAAGTCCAATGGAGGGTGTGGTTATGTGAAGAAACCAGATTTTCTACTGAAATCAGGTCCTAATAATGAAGTATTTGACCCTAGAGCTACGTTGCCTGTGAAGACAACTCTTAAGGTGATCGCCACATCTAAAAAAATAAAGGATATGGAATCTACATCCACAGCGGCTCATTTTTCTCACAAAAACACATTCGCCTTTTTCTTGCCTGTGTGACAGGTGAGGATATACATGGGAGAAGGATGGTATTACGATTTCCGCCACACTCATTTTGATCAATATTCCCCACCAGATTTTTACACCAGGGTTAGTTCAATCCTCAATTACTCAGTTTTCATGTGATATTGTGTTACTCGCTCTCCATTTCTCGTCTGACTGATTGGAAAATATCTTGAAGATAATTCAATGATAATTAATCATTCCTGCAAGCAGGTGGGGATTGCTGGAGTCCCAGCTGATGTAGTGATGAAGAAAACAAAGACATTAGAGGACAACTGGATACCGGTTTGGAACGAAGAGTTTGAGTTCCAGTTAACAGTTCCAGAACTAGCCTTGCTGAGGCTCGAAGTCCATGAGTATGACATGTCGGAAAAGGATGATTTTGGAGGCCAGACTGTTCTCCCTGTGTCTGAAATACAAAGTGGAATTCGAGCTGTTCCTCTCCATGATCGGGAGGGCAAGAAATACAACAATGTCAAGCTACTGGTGCACTTTGATTTTGTGTGAGATGAAATGGGCAAAATCGTGGAGAACTCTGAAAGGATACATAGGATTCGGTCGAGGTTGCTGTGCGACTGTGTGAGCAATAATGGCATCTCCCTGTTGACCTTTCTGGTGTTGCAGATGAGGCAGGATATGGAAGTTGCTTTATTTTCTTTGCCGGTTCATTCGTCGACTCAGACTTCAGTCACAGAATCTTTCCTACAGTTTGTATGGCTTAGAGTAACTTGAGCTATCGCAGGTGAATATATGTACCATCAAACAAAACTCCGCCTGTTTGGATAATGGTGTGTCTCTAGGGAGTTGGATTGAAGGTTCATGTCGTAGTGCTGTAAAGGGTGGGTTTTGGCGTGTGTATATGTGGTGTATAAAAAGCAAAATCAAAAGGCATGTGCTTGTGCTTCTTGAAGTTCAGTTAGGGGTCGTTTTTTGTTCATTTGAATAGTGTTTGTTCTGTATCAAATTTAATATATTATTGATTTGCGAAAATTCATTGTTTGCTTTCAATTTTTTGAGTTACCAAATTTGTAGGTTCACGAATTTTGATGGTTCAAATTTGTCTATCCCACAGATTCGTAAATTTTATCTATATGGGTAAGATTTGAGAGATGACTCTAAAATCATAATAATTATTTACTTTTATATCTCCATTAAAAATAAAATAAAGAGTTAGGAAGGTCGAAAACGAGTTTTGAGACGATTGGTAGTCGACAAGTGCCAAAAAGTGAAGAAAATGCCAAAGTCATGGGCTAGGGGTAATTGTCACGGTCTCATGGGCGTGACAATTGTGCCCAGGGCGTGACCTTTGCAAGGATAAGAAGAGTTTGCACATCTTGGGACTAAAAGTTGTCACGGTCACTAGACCGTGACAATTGTGAAGAAGCCGTGACATTGGACCAAAACAGTTGCGTTTTTGTTCGAGATCACGGCCGGACTGCAAAATTCACCGTCGTGACATTCAGCTTGTGACTTTGATTGTCGGGTTGTACAAAAAGACAAAAGCGGGTGAGAGAAAAGAGATCTAGTTTATGGAGAAGAACTTGGTTCTCTCTCTAGGGTTTCGACACGAAACACCAAAGAGGAGTTCTAGAGAGAGAGTATTTGAGTGATCTTCGAGCTCAATTGGGGGCTTGAGTTGATCTTGGCGACAAGGATTCAAGCCTAGAAGATGAGGAAGATGACGATCTTGGGCTATTTTGTAATCTCTCTCTTCTCTATGAACTAGACCTCTTTCTCTTAGGTTGATTAACTCCAGGCCTAGATTTTGGTTTGAAGTTCATGTATGTGACATATTCTACGTTTGATTGATGATTTTATCTATTTGATGGATTGCATGAGTTTGGTTCCATTTCATGTATTGAGCTTTTGACCTAGGAGGGAGAAAAATCCCTTAGAGTCTATTATTGGCGTTTTCGGGTCACTCCTATCTTATATTGTCCGGGTAATCCCCGAATGAGTTGATTCGATCGATCTATTAGCGATATCTAGGTTGAATAGAGCACCTACGCATCCATCAATTCGCCATTCCGGGTTAATCCCGAGGGAATCTATCCACTAACGATAGGATAATGAGTCGATCGAGTTAGGATAATACTCAACATCGACCCAACTGACGAAACTAGTGGTATACAAACCTAAGAGAGCTCCACTATTTCTAATTAGCTAAGTTAGTTAGTTTAGTCTTCTTAATCACTATCCTAGATTGGCTAGATAACGAACCCTAAACCTGAAGTAAGGTAACCTTAGATATCCGTGGTACAATAAATTTTATTACTTGCTTACCTTATGCTACACTTGGTAGTCGGTTATGCTTGGTCGTCGATTGGGATGTAGTTAAAATCGAGCCACAAATACGTGTGGTCCACGGATTTGGATCCTTCAAATTCATGGGCTCCACAAATTTGGTACGTAAAAAATTACAAACAAACGACACTACAATTTTGTAACACATAAGAATTTATGAACAAATCCAACAAACAACAAATTGTCCAAATCCATAATGCTCGAATCCTTTACAAATTCATGAGTTTTTCTAAATACAGATTTTAACCAAACCTCTCATTTTTTCAAATCAAATAACCAAACCACCTCAATTCATAATCTTCTTAAATACAAGTTCTAAAACCAAAATCATCAATTTCCGAATCCAACAAAAAAAAATCCACGACCGGGCCGGAGCTATTCTGGAAGAAATTCTGAGCTTGAAGGCTGATTTCTCATTTAATCAACTTATTTTTGCTCTCGTTGTACTGATAGGGCTGCCCATTTAGTGGCTCAAACTTTATGGCAATGGGGTGGGGCGGGTACCTCAATTCCCATGCCCCGCCCCACGCTACTATGGGTCGGGGCTGGTAAAACCCGCGAGAGTACGGGGTGGGGCGGTCGGCACACTCTTACATGTTATTTGGAAAAATACACGCAAATTTTACTTTTTACAATAAAACAAAGGGGAAAACATTTTATGAATGAAAAAATGTGATAATAGAATGGGTAATTGAGTCTAACAAGTTGTAAGATCGACTGTAACTAATTGAAGAAAAGTCAAAATAAGATAAATATGTATAGATAATATAAATTGAAATAAAATGGGTATAGAACGGGACGGGACGGGACAGGACGAGGTGGAAATAGATACCCATGCTACTATGGATCGGGTAATACTCACGGGACGGGTCAAATTGCCATCACCAGCTTAAATGGCCATTGCATCGGTAGATTGCTTTTTACTTTTCACAACCTTGTAATCTCATGTCTATTTTCAATCTATTATGACAAAAAAAAAAAAAGAACAACAACACACTCAAAATTGCTTCATAGAGGATTTTCTTGCCTATTGTCACAAATAGGGGTGGGCAGCCGGTTCGGTAAACTCGAATCGAATCTGAATTAAACCGAACCGAAATCGAAATAATGCTATTTGGTTCGGAATTCAGAAGGGAAATATGGATATTTTGGAAACCAGGGTTCTTTCAACCAAACCAAATTTCCGACCAAAATACCGAAATATTATAATTGGAAGCTCCAAATGGTGGGTTTTTATGTTTGTAGTTGTCTTTAGACTTAAATATTTGAAATGTTTTATGACTTATGTGTTGAAAAGTTTGATTTTATCATTGATGATGCATATAATTGCATATTTATTGTTTATATTACTAATATTAGGGGTGAAAAAATAATTTAAAAGTGAGAAGATACAAGTAGTCTCACAAATTCGGTTTTTTGTGGAAACCGAACTGAATTATAATTCTGTGTAAACCTATCGAGCCGCATTATAATTCGTTTCGAATTCGGTTTGAAGTTAGGGAGAATTCGGGGAACCGGTATTCATAATTTCAGTTCGGCCGAAACCGTACCGACCAAATGCCCACCCCTAGTCACAGAGATTCTAGCTCATCACCTCACCTTTATGACAATGTTTAGAAAATCCTACCGTACTGGTTTGTCCGACGAAAAATATCGAATACCAAAACCAAAACGATAAACAATTTTAATGGGAGGAAAAGATTGAACCACAACTAAATTACAATTTTACTTTAAAATACTTTGCTATTGACTTTTATGATTTGGACCGGGTTTGGGTTTAAACCCGTTCACATCCACAGGGTTGAGTTTGGGTTTAGGTAAACCCACCCCATGGGTACCTGCCCACATCCATATAATTAATTTTTTCGGTATATTTTATATTCTAAACAACTAATCTTATTTATGTTTGTGGAGGCATGTCTAATTTTTTCTTTCTAATTGTGTAGAATGAAGTTGATGTTTAACGAGTGAAGAGTGAAGAAACTTTGAAAGGAAGAAGCTTTCAATTAATCATGTTATTTATGGATAACTTGTGATTTGCTTCAATTTTCTTGAGTTTTATAGATTGGTGTTGAACAATTTGTATAGTTAATTTGTGATTTGCTTGAATTTTCTAAAATGGTGTTTTATATATGGATAATTTGTATTGAAAGATTGATATTTGACTTTAATTTTGATAGAAGTTTGTTATTGTAAATTTTTTACGACAAAAACCCGTGGGTACCCATGAACCCGCGGATACCCAGCTGGTTGAGTTGGGTTTGAGTTTTTTAAACCCAATGAGTTTTACCCCAAATTTTTTTCACGAATAAACCCATAAATTTGAGTTTGGATTTGTCCCAACCCGACCCATTTGGATCATAGTAGGCTAGTATGAGCTCCGCAATAACAAGCCTTGCTTCATGATTAAAAAATAAAAATATATTCACTTCTTTCGAACCTGATTTGTTCTCCACTGAACTCCGTGATCCACCAGCTCGAGGCAAGCTGAACCTGAACCCGGAACAGCGAACCGGAAAGTCGTTTCTCGAGAGCAGAAGACGTCACTCTTCTGTCTCAACATACGAAAATGTCCATCGCCGCCGGAGCCAAGCAACAGTCGTTCACCGATTCAGATTCCGATTCCGACCACTCGCAGTCCGGCGAATCCAACTCCGCCCGCCGCCACACCGACCTCTCCAATTCCATCTTCAAATCCTACTTCGACCTCACCGCAACCACCACCTCCGCTTCGCCGTCCCCGCACGACCTCTCCAAAATCCAGTCCTTCCTCAACTCATCCTCGTCCGGCGCCCTCTCATGCCTCATATGCCTTGAACGAATCCGCCCTTCCGATCCCACCTGGTCCTGCGGTTCCCTCTGCTTCGACGTCTTCCACCTCCTCTGCATCCAATCGTGGGCTCGCCAGGCGTCCGATCTCGCCGCCTTGCGAGCGTCCACTCGCCTCCCGATCACCTCGCAGAAGGCCGACGAGACGGCGATCTGGAATTGCCCCAAATGCAGGTCAGCGTATTCCAAATCTCAAATCCCTAGGACTTACTTCTGCTTCTGTGGCAAGCTCGAGAGTCCTCCGAATGATAATCCCTGGATTTTGCCGCATTCGTGCGGGGAGGTCTGTAACCGTCCATTGAAGAACAATTGCGGCCACTTCTGCTTGTTGTTGTGTCACCCGGGGCCGTGCCCTCCGTGTCCTAAACTGGTCAAGGCGTCGTGTTATTGCGGCAAGATTGAAGATGTTCGGCGGTGTGGGTATAAAGTGTATTCGTGCAACAGTCGATGCAATAAGCTGTTGGGTTGTAAGAGCCACAAATGTAAAGAGATTTGTCATGATGGAGAGTGTCCCCCTTGTCACGAGCGCGGGGTTTATCGATGCCTGTGTGGGAAGAAAGAAGAGGAGAAGGAATGTTGTGAGAGGGATTTCAGATGTGAGATTCCGTGCAAGAAACCCTTGAGCTGTGGGAAGCATTTGTGCGAGAAAGGGTGTCACTCTCCGGAAGGGTGTGGTGGATGTCCGCTGCAAGGGAAGAGGACGTGCCCTTGTGGGAAGAGGGTTCATGAAGGAATGGCGTGTGATGTTGCAGTGCCGCTATGTGGAGATACTTGTGGTAAAATGTTGAGCTGTGGGTTCCATAAGTGTCATGAAAGGTGCCACCGAGGGCAGTGTGCTGAGACCTGCAGAATGGTTGTCTT